TTTGGTTTGATGCAGGAGGCAAGGCCTCAGTAGTTCCGGATGTCGATCCGATGCAGAGAGCAAGGCCCTGGTTAGTTCCGGACTTTGGTCCGATGCAGTTTCCGGACTTCGGTCCGATGCAGTGGGCAAGGCCCAGTATGTGTTTATATGTATTGTATGGTATGTGGTAGTTTGGGGGAGCTCACTAAGCTTTGTGCTTACAGTTTCTGTTTTGGTTTCAGGTACTTCCGCAAGCAAAGGGAAGAGTTCGGGTTGATGGCATCGCACACACCACAACTTCAGCTGTTATGGGAGTTGTTTTGGTTTTTCATAGATGTGATTGATACAGTCTTGACACAGTTTACTCATAACACTTTACTTTTGGTTGTGAGATATTGACGTACGAGTTTTATCTTATGATTTTATCATGGTGTTTTTAGTAATTATTAAACAAAAATTTTTGGGTCGTATTTTCGGATGTTTCATTTACAATCTTTTAACATTCCTTCTAATGCATACAATTTGATTTTAGCTAAGTTTGATGATGCAATTACTTTTGTTAATGATTTGCTTATCTTTGCTAGTAATGATGCTAAAAAGTCTAGTACTTAATTACTAGAAATACAAAAGATTTTGGAATCGAAGAAAGCAAAGATAGATCATTTAGACTTACAAATTATGAACATTATGTGTGATAGGGATAGCTTGAGTGCTGATAATAAGATTTTGTTGAAACAAAGAAATATTTACTGTAACTTAGCTAAACTGTTATATGGTCAATTAACTACTTTGTATCATTCATCTAAAATTAAAAAAGAATGGCATAGGAAGCTTTTATCTTTCTTATCTTTCAAAAGGGAGAAAGTTGACTCAACTTCTTATGACTGTGAGATGAAAATTTCTGAGTTTGATAAGGTTCATGATAATAGATATTCATATGGAATTGTGAAAATGGATGAAGTTTTAGATGCAAATGATCTTGTTGATATTGTTAATAAAACCTTGACCAAAGACGAACAAATATAAAATTTGAAAAGAACTGAGTATTCGACATCTAACTTTCGAATTTTTTTGCTAATATCGAAGATGATTGTGATGATATTAGTGAAATTGAGGCGGAGAAAGTTGTTGACTATTCTTAGTTATTAGTCATTAATGTCACTTGAATGGCTAAAACTAAAGAAATTTTTTACGATTCTTCGGTTAAAATTGACATTGATTTACCCTCAACTTTGAAAGTTCATGATCATGACCATGTGACTGTCGAAGATAGTCAAACAAACAGTGATGATGATAATGATGAAACTTCAAAAGAAACTACTATACCACGAGTAGTAGTTGATCAGGTTTATGAGGAATCTCAAAAGTTCGAAACAATAATGAAAGAAAAAGGTAATCATTATCTTGAAACAAAATCAATTGTATATCCAAATTTCATTTGCACCGATGAAGTTATCTTTCCAAATCAAGTGTATGTTACATCAGGGAATAATGAAAAGGTCAACCCTGAAATCAACAAAATTGTTGAAGAAGATAACAACCAAGATTGGAAAGAAAGATTTTTCTCAAATTAAAGTAACGTCGAAAATAATCTCAACAAGAATTCATTCATTTTTCAAAGACAAAAAACACAAAGAAATTGGGTTGTTAAAACTAACAAACCAAAAGATGAAAATCAAACAAAAGAAACAATTTCTCAAAAGTCAAATCAAGAAGTTCCAAATTTCAAAGAAGGAATTGAAAAGATTTCAAAAGAACTTGGGATTTCAATGACTAAAGCAAGGAAGAAGATTTATTGGCAAAATATTAAGTCTCGTAAGAAACAAAATGTTTTATCAAACAAATCGTCTAAATCAATTAAGTCTAAAACAGTTTAGACAAACAATCAAAACAAGTCTTTTATAAAGAAAACACCCACTCAATCACAAAAAAGATTTTTCAAAAAGCTCATTACAAAAAAAAAGTTGCAAAAAGTCTACAAAAATTTTCGTCATTCAAAGCTAAATCTCATTCACAAAATTAAAACAAAGAGAATTTTGTGAAAAATCAACAATCGAAGAGTTTTTTTCATAACAATCAAAACAACATATTTTCACAAAAGAATTTTCAAAGGAATGGTTTTCAACCAAGTGGACAAAGAAAATTTTCTCAACTAAACAAAAGCGATTTTCGAAGGGTTCACAAGTTTATCAAAATTCAAATGTTGGTTATCAAAATCGGTTTCAAAATCTATTTCAATCAAATGTGAAATCTGATTCTTCAAAACCACGTTTTCAAAGGTTAAATGTGAAAAGAAATGAAACTTTCAAACCAACTCAAAAACATTTTCCTAATCATCCTTCCAAGAAACCAAATAACACATCCTTTTCAAAAGGAAAAACGGATGTTAAAAATGTAAATCATTGGTTAGAAGGAAAATGCAAACAATATCAAAGTGGGAAATTTTCTCAAGAAGAGATCAGGTTTGCTTATGAAAGTAACCTGAATGACTCATCAAGTGGAAGTTCATCATCCAAAGAGTCAAATCCAGTGATTCGTAAGTGGAAAGTTGTTCCAAAGGAGAAATTTGATTTGACACGAAATGTGAAGGTTCAAGGGAGCATTAATGTTGATTCTAAACCTTCGAATGATTTCATTTCAATCCCTTTAACTAATGAAGTTGACTTAATTGACAGTTTGAAGTCAAAAGTTCGAAAATAGGTTTTAGGATCTTCATTTCATCATGCATTTTGTTCTACTCGCTAAGGACTCAAACATCCTTGGGGACCTAAATTTTTTCACTGATTGCAGGTTGTATGTGACGAGCAATATGATAACAAATGCTATATCGATAGTGGTGCTCTGAAATTCCAACCATCACCAAGTCCCTCCTTTCCCTCACTCATTTTCCTGTCGAATTCAAGAAGAAACGAAGTAGCAGAAGGCCGCCAGAGTAGCCCCCTGTCGCACACCATCGCGGACTGCCCTTCCACCACTGTTTGTTGTTGCTCCCGTCGACAATCTTCAGTTACCACCACTGTTTGTTGTCGCTTCTGTCGGTAAGCCATCTCTACCCTCGAAATTTGGATTATGTATTATGTGCCTCCAATTGAACACCAGGTCGACTCCCTTGATTTTTTTTCTTCCCTGGCTCATACCTTTAATCGCGAATACGAAGAAAACGTTAAACAATTCAAACTTACGTTCCATTTATTTAATTTCAATCTTGGAATTTGCTGACTATTACTAATGATGGTATTTCAGGATTAAGGCTGTGAGGATTTAGAGGGATATGTCATCTTATGTAAGTCAATATAATATCACATGAAATTGGTTTTGGGCGTGGTTAGTCCAAGGAAGATGCAGATAGGGATTTGAACAAGTTTCATCCATTTGTGTATAACACTTCTGGTCAAGTGACAAAAGCAACTTACTACACAGGTTTGTTGGAGAGGTTTGACCTTCATATCAAAATTAAAGTGTGTATATATATATATATATACATATATATATATGAGAAAGAGAGAGAGAGAGAGAGATAGTTGTGGGCCCCTGTTATTATTTTTAATTATTAGAATGTAAAAACACGTGAACTGTCATAAGGGGTAACCGTGTTACCCCTTCGTTTTTAAAAAAAAGGCGTTTTAGATCCGACACAACCAACTTTGGTGTTGTTTGTTTTTTCTGAGGCAAAATATCTGCAGTCTGCGGACCACATCTGTAGACCTCTGCAGTAGAAGAGGTGGACCAAACGTCTGCAGTCTGAAAAAAGAAGACTGTTTGTTTTTTTAACATCTGCGGGCTATTAAAATAAACTGAAATCTAAATAAACTGGTTTTTTAAAACTTCAAAGCGAATTTTTTATATATTTTTACGACTTTATTATAAATATATGACGAATCTAGATCAACTTTTATGTATTATTATATAAAAAATAAAAATAAAAATGGTATTAATTCATATACATATTTGATAAAACCAACAACTTTGATTACAAAGTTATAACTAAACATTATAATTAGTGATCAAAGAATTTGATACATAAATAGATGGAAATAAACTTCGATTTTTTCAAATAAATCTATTAAAAACGTACGATAAATATTTTCTCGAGAAATTGATGATACTCTATTAAATAAAGTTTTACAAAATTTTGGCAAAAAAATATAAGAATATATTATGATTTTTTTTTTTCATATTTATATAGACAACTTCAACGACTATTATTATAATAAATTTTTATTTATAAATTTGTTAAAAATATCATGTTTTTATCGTCAAATGTTTTTTTTAAGTTTTGTAATTTTTTTTTCATATTGTTTATCATTAATAAAGTTGGAAAAAATATAAATTAAAAAAAAAAACTTAAAAAAAATAAAGATATATATGTTTTTTTAAGCTAGAAGATATCTGAAGATGTTAGAAGACTCTGGTCCACATCTGCGCCAAGAAGAGGGCGCGCAAACATTTTTAGGTCTGCAGTCTTCAAAAAAACAAACAGTCTGCGAAGACTAATGTCTGCGCGTGGTCTGCGCGGCGCAGACAGAAGACGTCTCGCAGATCTGCAGACAAAAAACAAACACTACCTTTGTTTCCTTAAAAGATACAGAAATAACATTAGGATCTGAATAAGTAAACCTTCAAAAGTTTGTGGGTTATATGTGTCATTTTCCCAAATTTTAAATAGCTAAACTCATGGAACCCATAAAGAAGATGAAACATGATTGTATAAAATTTCATGCTTCCTTCAATTCAAAAACTCAAAAAGTTTTCTGTTGCTGTTTTTTATTTCTAAATTAAGTAACGTTTTTTTAACAGAAAAACTTAATATGTAAATTAAGTAACGTTTTTTCTTCTAAATCAAGTAACGTGAATACATCATGCAAAACTTAATATATAAAATTCCGTACATAGAAATTTTGGCTAATGGAGACAGTATCGTTGATTTAACAAACATCAAAGTCATTAGAAGTAAAAATATATTTCGAAATCAATAATATTACAAGTAAGAATCTGTTGATACAAAGTACAAACAAAGAGAACTAAACATTATGAGTTCGAATCACATGTCCAGCCATGGAAACTTGAAGCGCTTCCTCTTCATATGCCCTTCTTTCCAACTCTTCCAATCTAGCTTTCTTCTTCACTTTCACAAACATGGCTACCAATAGTAACCCCAAAAGAAAAGCCCCAATCCCTGCCCCAAATGAGCTTCCAAACACCACCTTCCACCGCTTTATCTTCTTCCTCTCCGGCAATAATATTGGTGATTCTACCACCAACCCAAAATGGCCTTGGCTCCTGGTGCCACAAATGTTTGGCGCAACCTCTTTTTCAAGTGTCACCTTACCATCGTCTCCAAATGTTGCACACATTTGTATCCTACCATGAAACGTGTTGTTCTTTGTCATTGTGTAATTACTAAAATCAATTTTTATTCCATTTACTTGTGGTGACTGAATTTTGACCTCAAATTGCACATTAAACTTTGCATCGTCGACAGCGTTATATGCTAATAACCCTAAGACAGGAGACACAAGTTGATAACCTACTAACTCATGGTAATTATCATAGTAAATACTCGACCAATTGTTTCCTAGATTTTGTGTTACAACAAGGACTCTTTCTACATATGGATGAACATCCACACCAACTCCCAAGTGAAATTCTTGGATACTTGCGCCATACCTTTTGAGGCTTCCACAACGATACTTCACAGTGCTCACATTAACACCTGTTAGATTTGATGGCAAATGAACGTTGTATGACATGCCTGTTTTGAAGTTCTTGTACGACTTGAACGTGTAATATCGAATTGCAAGGTCGAGGAGTCTTGTGGACTTAATTCCTTGAGCTTGGATCGCAAATTTTGTGGGTAATGCCAAGAAAACTAGAAGAACCCAAGTCAAAGAAAGATGATTAGAGCCCATTAACTCGAGGACGTGAATGTGTTTGTTTGCAGATGTGCATATCTTGACAAGCTCTTGCTTTCTCATGTTATGTTGAAAAGAGGAAAGTAGGGTTTGTCTATGGAAGTTTTATAATGTTAAATGATCTAAAAAGGGTTTGAAGATCATCATAGGACCATAGGAGTGTTGAGAGAGAGGAGTCTTGTGGGGTTGTAATACTGATTATTGTTTGTTCAAAAAGGTGGTTGCTTTTGAAGGGTGTGTGGTGGTGGGTCTGATGGTGATGTGGGCAGCTGCTAAAGAATTCTTTGCATGGGGTGACAGTTGTAAATGTGTAGGCGTGTTATAAGTTCGGAGATAAACAACATAAATTAATAGTAAAGGTGAGGCAAGATCCGAATCCTATTTGATTTTCTTTCGGGTTTATTTAACTTATTCGTATTAACTTACCTAAAATTTTGGAATTAGAGAATTTTTGTTGTTGAATATTGCCTAACATTATTATTTTTGAGCTTCTATACTTCTATAAACAAATTCATATATGTATCTAAAACAATATCAATATCATGTTTTTTTCTTAAAATTCTCTCATAATTTTGAATTTTAAAATATAGGGAAAAGTAATGAGTTGAGGTTGGAAGAATGATTTGGTGTAGGGGAAGTTGTGGGAGTCTAATGATTGTGATTTGGTTTGTCAAAAAAGCGGTGGGCATGGCGTGCTTAGCCGTTTGACAATGGCTCCCATCTGCAATCATATAGTGTGTGATTTTGATCAACATGTTCCTCACATTAAAATTAATATTTTTACTTTTGTCAAATTATAACATTGATGATTAATTATGTTATATTAAGTATTATTAAATATTAAACTATAATCCAAACAAGGAATTTAATCTCATCAGGCTTCTCTCCACTCCTAATTGCAGAGATCCGATTATGAACGTATGTTGATTCCGAATCCAACATAAAGAAAGCAAATAAAAGCACCATAGTCCATAGACTTCAACTTTAAGGTGTCCTACCTTAATTTTAAAAAAATATGGACGTAACTTTAGCCAAGTCAAGCTCATCCAATTCCTTCTCAATGGAGGTGGATCAAATAATTGAACCAGGGACCCCATTGACTTCATTTGGAGGGGGTATATGAAGAGGAAATAAGAAGTATTGAAAGGAAAGGAGCCAATATAATTTAAAATTAAAGATTGGGGTTATGTGAAACAAGATTGGACCAAATCCATCAGCCTCTAGTCACATACAATTCATCGGCATCCAATAGACTTAAATGGAATGTATCAACATGTATTTTTTTTTTAACAACAATTCTCATAATTACCAACCATAAACTCAACTAGAAACTGGAACAACAACAATCATTTTTTTCTAATCTTGGGGTCACTCTTATTTTGATAATGTTGTGAAAAATACGTCACAAAAGATAGGGAGGTCTTATATTCATGTAGGATCCTAGTGGATTGTTATATCGGACAAATAATCCTAGTCACATATTCTTTCATGGTCAGTATTTCAAAAAACACAACCAAATATTATTAATGGAAAACTAGCAAGAAGCTAGCACAAAAAAACTTACATAAAAATAGCCTCTAGAAGATTAAAGGAATACAAAACTATCTTGTCAAAAATTAAATTTTTCTAAAACTATTTGGTTGGAAAACAATATTAATTGGTATTATGGGACAACCAAAGAACCCAAATTGTAGCAAATATCACGGCCATTTTTTCATAATAGTCAAACGTCTATCAGCCAAATAAGTAATTCTTGAATGTCAATACAAGTCAAGATTTGAAAATCCAGCTATCGACCCACATTCTTCCGAATGCTATCCACCACAATGCACTACAAGAAAATGTGATATGTTTTTTTGGAACTAGTATCATAAAATAGACACATAATATATATACTCCAAGTCAATGCCTCGATTGACCAAATTATCCCTAGTTACCACTCTTTAAAACTCTTCACAAAAGCACGCTAGCTTAATTAGGATTGTACTTCATCCATCAGGTAGTATTCGGACTTTGAGGCAACATCATGTCATGAATAGAGCTCTAGTAGAGCTAACCAAGAATTCTTCCATGGATTCCAAATCCCAAATCCATTTATCAAACGAATATGTAAGCACAATTGTATCTAGATCGCGGATCATATTGTTGAATAAAATAATTCGGCTCCCCCTCTCACCGGCCAGTGCCAATCCCAAACACCGCCACTTCCATTCAATCTATCTTTGGTTAATAAATTATCATTATTTTCAAGAGCGAATAACCATTGAAATCTAACTTTCAAGGAAAAGTTATTATCAATCCATAATGTAGTTTGACTCTTATCTCCAAGCCTTTTTTCAAGGCCTTAAAATTAATAATACCTTTATAATGAAGATTTTTACACGAACCAACTATATTCGACCAAACTGTGGAACTTTTCACATCTTCGTCATTCAAAAAACCATCTCTACTATCATGCACGAAACGACTTTAACCCATAAAGCATTATCATTAATAGCAAATCACCACCGCTATTTTGTAACAAAGCCACATTAAACACATGAAGGCTTCCAATATCTAAACACATTTATCTTTGGAGGATAACAACACATGCTAATTCACCTAATTACTCTTGAAGAAAATTTAGAGACGATTCTTACACAACTTCAAGAACCCTTATATCATTAAAAGATTAAGAGCCAGAAGGTTTTCCTCAACTTACATAAAAACCTAACTAAAGGAAACCTACTCTACACTCACAATGAAACACACATTCTAATCTAACAACAATCAAGGAAGACCTGACGACCCAATCATAAACCCGAACTCATATGAAATATTTTCACTTCAACCCTCGATCTCATTCAAACGTTTACCTTCACGGCTTCACCCAATGAATAACAAACAAAAACAAATTAAACATACCCTTACCTTCAAAATGTTAGTTTGACAATACAAAAGTTATTAATTTTAATAGCACCTCTCAAACTAACCATTTTGAAGTAAAAAACTAGTTTGAAAAAAGGATCAAACAAGCACAGTTTTTCACACAAAATATTATGTTGAGAAGAAGAAAGAGATTTAGTTAAAATATTTGCAGCCTGATTAGAAGAACTAATATTAACCAATTTTATAACACCTTTTGATATTTTTCCCTTATAAAATGAACATATATTTTAAAATGTTTTGTCTTATCATGAAAAGCAGAATTAAGAGCAATTTTAATTGTTGACTCATTATCACAAAAAATATTTACAGGAACAATATTTTTCAATCCTATATCACACAATACCTTTGAAACTCATATTAACTCACATGAAAGAGTCCCAAGAGTCCTCTACTCTTCTCCATAATATAGGAGAATTACCAAAATAAACAACATAACCACTAACAAATTTTTGAGAAAACAAACTTTTAGCCCAATCTGCATCTAAATATCATCTCAAAAAAAGAGAATCAGACCCGGATTTTAAATATGAAAGTCCCATACCAGGATTATGCTTAAGATACCTTAACAGTCTTAAAGCAATAGGTAAATGAAACTTATTAGGTTTATGCATATATTGACTTAATACTTGTACAGAATAAGCAATATCTGGTCTAGTAATAGTTAAATAAATAATCTTTCCAATAAGTTTTTGAAGCTCAATTATATTTTCAAGTAAAACACTATTATGATCATTAATGACAAGATTTGATTCAAGTGGAGTTTTTATAGGTTTAGATCCTAACATCCCAAACTCATGAAGTAACTATAAGCAATATTTTCTTTGAGACAGAAAAATCCCATTAGGAACTTCTACAACTTCAATGCCTAAAAAATTATTTTGGTTTTCCTAAATCTTTTATAAGAAATTGGGATTTAAGAAAATCTTTTACCTTATTGATCTTGAATTCATTATTACCAATACAAAAATATCATCAACATAAACTAGTAAAAATAACAACATGATTTCTAATATTTTTAACAAACATAAAATAGTCATTAAGATTATGTTTAAAACCAAAACATACCAAGGAATCATTTAATTTTGCATTCCACTTTTGTGGAGCTTGTTTCAGACCATATAAGGATTTTAACAGTTTACAAACTCTATTATCATTCTTACCATATGATATCCTAGAGGTATACCGTATACACATCTTCTTCTAAAGAACCATGGAGAAATGCATTATTAACATCAAATTGACAAAGATTCCAACCAAAGTTAACAGCAAGAGTAATAATAACACGAATTGTTACAATTTTGGCTACAAGAGCAAAAGTCTCCTTATAGTCAATACCTTCCCTTTAATTGTAGCCTTTAGCTACAAGATGGAATTTATATCTTTCTATTTCTCCATTAGCTTTATATTTAATTTTATAAATCCAACGACAACAAATGGGTTTTCTATTTTTAGGTAGACCAATTATTATCCAAGTATTATTCCTATAAAGAGCCTCGATCCATTTCTTGATTCCTGGCCTTAACCCATTCAGGATTAAGAGAGGCTTCATAATAAGGTTGTGGTTCTAAAGACTTATCCAAGTTGGTAATAAAACACTTAGACTCATCAGAAAAAGAGGAATAGTCTAGAGTTTTTTCAATTTCATACTTGTATTTTCCTTCGATGACATAATCACTAAATCTAGTAGGAAGGGAGACTCTTTCCTTGTACGTGTGAGACCAATCAACAGAGAAACAAGGGGCTTAGAAGTAGTCTAGAATGACTAGTTTCCTCAGCCATATAAAAAAATCAGTACCAGACCCAACAAACAAACGCATAGAGGACTCCCTTAAACCAAAGTTAGTATACGAACTATCATGAGTAGCATCTGTTGTAGTTAGGTTATGAGGCGAACTAGTACCATCTGACTGATGATCCAGTCTCTTATTATTACTAACTTCATCAAACAAATGACTCAAACTGAGTAGGCTCATCATAGAAAAAAGGATCAACCCCAAAAGAGTTCTTATTAGTCTTACAAAAATAGAACTTTGCATTTTGAACGGAAAGACATACTCATAAAATTTGATATCACTGGAAACGAAGACAGAATTTGAGTCAAGAATTAACACTTTATAACCTTTCTTTTCCTAAGA